TCAGCTACTGTGAACAAAGTGGGGAAACTTTGGAAATAAGATGTGTCATCGTGTGGGGGAGGCTATCTTTACACGAAAGCTGTCTTTATAATTATCTATAGTTCAAAGCTTCCTGTCCTCAACCACAGTAAACAAGGCATCCCGATGCTCTGGCAGAACGCAGCTTTTGTCGGTGTTGCTCACAATTCTGTTTGGTGGGTTCGGTTTGGAGCCTGTCTGCAGTGATGGTTCCTAGACTCACACGTCCTAGAAGGGCCCAGCAAGTTGCTTCTATTTTTTGGAGAAAGCAGATGAGCTAGGCCACTTTTCCAAAGTAGAAGTACCAGAAAATTCCTTTTTCATCAGACCTGCAGGCTGAAAGCCAGTACAGTTACCTTTTAGGGCACCATAAAAACCTTTCAAAAAATTGTAGGTGGCTTTTAGAATAAGAAGTCACTAGTCAAGAAGGAGAAAGACACCTTTTTCCTTCCTCTCGTCTCTAAAACAAGCGCTCTCCTGGGCAGTAAGAACACAGTCCGCAGGGCGCACTGCACTCAGCAGACACCAAGGCAAAGACTTGAGCTCAGGCTCACACTACAGAGGCAGCGCCATGAGCGCGGGGATTTCTGTGCGTTTCGTTCATTGACGTGTCCTCACCTCTGAGAGCCTGACACAAAGCAAGCGCTCAGTCCGTATTTGTTCAATGAATAGATAAATGTAAATTAACCATAGGGGTTAATATGTAAAAGACCTAACATCCTAAACTGGGGACTTGTCTCAGTGAGTTGTGCGACTCACGAGGTCTTTTCCTCCACGTGTGTCTGGCACACCTTGTGTCCCAGCCCCTCTGGGCCACATCCCAGCGCCAGAGCTGGTCCCTGTCTGGAATACCTGGTTCATTGCACTGGCTGTCTTCTTTTCCGGTGACACTCCTTCCCAGCAAACACTCTTCCTCCGGGGCCCAGCTCGAATGCACTGCCTCTGTGATTTCTCACTTTCCTGTACAACTTTATTCCACAACTAACCACCTTGTATTAAATTGTGCTCATATCTTTCCCACCAGACTACGGGTTGCTCAAAAGACTGGAAAAGTCTTGGTGGTGCCTACAACCCAAGCACGTAGTCTGCATCATCAGAGGCTCCCTGACGAAGGGTGAGTCAGCTGAGAGTGCGTGAATGAGCAGGCGAAACGTGCAGACAGGAGGGTGCAGCAGCGGAGAGGATGGGACTGTGGCTAATTCTGACCAACAAATGGGCTCAACTGGAGCCACGCAATCTAAGTTCTCATCACTGAAGCTAAGGGCTGAAAACTTTTGGCCAGTGAATTTTCCATGACATAAGAAAAAAGGCCAGGTGTGGTGTCTCATGTCTGTAATCCTAGCACTCTGGGATGCCAAGGCAGGAGGATTGTTTGAAGCCAGGAGTTTGAGACCAGCCTAAGCAAGAGTGAGACACGTCTCTACTAAAAATTCAAATATTAGCTGGGTGTGGTGGTGTGTGCCTGCAGTCCCAGCTACTCAGGAGGCTGAGGCAGGAGGATCGCTTGAACCCAGGATTAAAAGTTGCAGTGAGCTATGATGATTGCCACTGCATTCCAGCCGGGTGACCGAGCAGGACTCTGTCTCAAAAAAGAAAAAAAAAAGAAAAAGAACTTCGATTAACTCAGTCTCATAAGAAAAACTATGAAAGGGTAAACTAGGATATAAAACATCAGGAAGAACCAAAATTTCTTTAATAATGAAATAATTTATTATTTGTTAACAGTTGAACAATACAGAAGTTTACATATACACAGCAAAGATTCTCTAAAACATGTAGTAGTTTCTAAAAATGCATGTGCTAACTGTAGTAAAAAGCACCATTCTCTATGGTCTTGACACAGGATTTACATTGGCGTCATATTTACATAAAGAAATAGACATCGGAAACAGAATTTCACACTCTTTCATCTGCTGCTCCCCTCTTTAGGCTGCGTTTACCATTAGGAAGATGGCCCCCCAAAACTGATGGTTAACAGCAATGTTCCAAGAGCACCAATTCTAGGGACAAGGGGTAAAGGCAAGTTTGGTTCTCAGGTAAAAGCTAAAATGAAGAATGCCCCCTCGATCCACCACCTCCCCGAGAATAAGAAATCAAAACTTAAAATCTGGATCGATCTTAGAATTGGGTGCTTTACTAATTCTCATTTTATAATTTTGAGAGAAGACAAAAATACTCAATTTCTTCAGCCATTCAATAGCTGAATGCCAGTCAATTATTTCTTTCAGAATACAAGAAAATCATCCATGTAATAAATAGTGATGATGAAATCATGATAAATCACATCTTGTACCCCACCCCCTAACCCAGTATCTTTCGAAACAAAACAGTTTACAGAGATCTGATCATGTAGAATGAGAAAAACTACCTCATCTAAAAGTGTCTTTGGGTTGTCTTCTCTCAAGAAGGGTTTTAAAATCAGGAGTAGCCAGCTACCTAAACATGCTGCATCAGAGTCAGACATAGAAAAATAATAGATTGACATGCAGGAAATTGCCTTTTAGCCTTTCACTATCTGGGGTTCAACACACAGGGAAAGGAAAGAGGGGCAGACAAAGGAACTTGGGGAAACAAAGAAGAAACAGAAAAGACCAAGATCTGGGGGAATAAATAGATTATAAAGCACAAAGAAAGTGGTATTCTTGCCAACACAGTATGGTAGAAAAACCTAAACAATAATGTGTGTGTGTGTATATATATCTACTTTTCAAAAATAGGTTCTCTCTTTAAAGGATGGGGAAGAGGCAAGGAGAAAAACATCCACAAAATGCATTATCAAGCCCCAAGATATTGCCAGACAGTTATTTTGAGCATCACAATCCTACCTAGTTTACACTTTTTTTCACACCCCAGCATTTGCTCTTGGCCACTTTAGGGATGGGGACAGAGACCCACAGGAAACCCAGGTGAGGACCCTTTTTTTTTTTTGGTAGAAAAAATAGAAGTTAAATGAAAATGCCCACCTTAAAAAACAAAAACAATACAACAAAAAACACTCAAGTGCTGATTGCAGAATCAGGGACTACTTAATGCTCAGTTCTGAATCGACACTGAAATTATTTTAGTCTTAGGTTGACAGGGAGAATTTAGGTCCTGCTCATAAATGTGATGCTCTTTGAATCACTAAACTAGCCTTAGCTCTGTGACTAGAGAAAGGAGCAAGTTGCTACCAGCACTTGAGGAATTCAAGATCTCTGCTTAGCAAAAAAAAAACAAAACAAAATAAAACACCCTGGGTGCTCGGTCCACCATTCAAAGCCAACAAGGATGGAAAGCTATGTTTTCAGGGATGTTAACAGAAGCACATATATATTTTCTCACTGCATGAAATTAAATTGGACTGCGTGCTCTTATTTTCCCACTTGCATTATGATGGTATCAATAAGAGTGCAGTTTAGATTTCTTTTTAGCTTTTAAAATCAACTTTCACATAAAAATATTCATGTGCCTATATTTATACACATCTATATTTACGTACAATTGTCAAAGTCTTAAAGGCTGGGGTTTATGTTTGCCCATCCCCTCCCCCAAACAACCCTAATAGAAAGGTTTTCATTTTGCTTAAAAAGACAAAACAACCAAAAAGACCCTATAGCTCTTAGCAGTCACGCTGGTGGATCAGTGAATGAGAGAGGACAGATTGGCAAATCAGGGCTGCCGATCAGCCACGTGGGGAAGGGGAGTAGCTGCCTTGGGCTGAGTTTGCTGGTCCTGAAGGTTATAGTTTTGGTTAGAGAGAAGCCTGTCTAGCATGCTGACTTGGTCTACCTTGAGCTCTAAAAGTAATGTCTAACCCTGGTGTCAGTTTATCACAAGTGCATTAAAAATATAGAGATCTATCAAGTTCCACATTTATATGCTATCAAATTGAAAAGGACCAGACAAACAGTGCAAAGGTCAAATAATTACTGTTTTATATTGGGACAGTACATTTCATATTTCAACCAAAAGACAAAAATGCAGTTTAACTCAAAGGCACAACAATTAAAACACAGAAAATAATAGCATCTCTCAGATGCCTTATTTCTAAATTAAACAAAGAAGTACACACATTTTGTTCCCTTCCCACCCCCAATGCAAGCCCATAAGCTTTCTCCAAAGTCTTGAGTCTTTGATGCCATCCAGCATCCAGCATCGTGGACTTGTGAGGCGCTTGGATGTAGCAGTGAAATAAAATACTCGAGAGGTCTAGCGAATGGCATTCAAAAGGGACCTCAAAGTGCAGATATATCTTTTTCAAACGTGTTACAGGCTGAGCTGGCTCTTTGAACACTATCACTTTGCTTAAATTCAGGAAGCAGGCTTTAAAAATGCAAAAGGCATACAAGTTGTATTTCAGTGCAAATCTTTAGCTGGTTATTGGAAAAGATTCCAACAATTAAAAAAAAAAATCCTTTGTGTCACCTGCCCCTCTCCCCACCCAAAGCTGAAATGAAGAAAACAACAGAACAAAACAAAAACAGAAGAGTTACAGATGACTTTGGAATCCACTACTTCTAATGAAAACATTTTTAATACGTTAAAGAATAATCTAAAAAAAACTCCACAAAAGTAATCTTGCTTTGTTTAGCTCGCTCTTCATGTATAGGATGAGCTTCCATGTAGAGTGCGTTTGAACTTTGACTTTCGCTGTGTGCAAGGCGCGGGCACCAGGTGAGCCACAAGGCTGTGGTGTGCTAGTGACAGCAGGCCAACAGCGGAGCGGGTTGGCTGCCCACTGCCGAGTCAGCCGTTGAGCCCTTAGGTCGCAGTGCGTCTGTGGATTTTAGGAATGTTCTCATCACTTTGTGACACACTCTGCTTCAGCATCACAGATTTTACAAATGGTTCAAATTCAATGAAAAAGATTCGCCAGAGGCTGAAAACATCAAGACCTCGAAAATATGAATGCAAAAATATTAAGGGGAATGAACCAATTTTGTAGATACCTACATACAAAGTTTCTAGAACATCTATAAAAGCACAAAGTCATAAGAATTTATTTTCCATTACATTAGTTTATATAAAATGAATAAATAGTATTTATAGATTTAATGTGTCTTATGTACATATACATGTGCTCTGTTTTAGCTTAAATAAAAATGCTACAAAGTGGGAGACCACTTAAGGGAAAAATCAAAACCAAAAAGAAAAATCAGCCTTTTAAACTATCAACCCAAAAGCCTCCATAAAGAAGTTTCTGGGTGTGTCCAAAAATAATACGGAGAGGAGTTCTAGTAACACCGTACCATCCCCTCCTGTTCACCTGCAACATAGAGAGTAGAAATGTGGACTTTTTCTTTCACTGATCATGGCCACTAGCTCAGCTAGTGCCAAAGCTCAGTTATTGCTGAAAGTTAAATAGGAAAATATATTAGAATTGGACCAAATGTCACTTATTTGGAAAAAAAAAAAAAAGAGGCATAATCACTTTGTGTTAAGTGGGAAATGGAGATCTCATTTATCTCTGAGGTAGGAAAAAAAAAATGTTCCAGAGACAAGTAGCATTAGCAAACTTTGAGGGGAAAATGTGCCTTGAGATAGCGGTACACAGCAAGGTCCCAAGAATATCGCACAAAAATAGATTGTACCGTTTTGTTTGTGAGAACAAACAATTTGGAACTTTTATAAGCTGTGCAACCCCCAAAGACACGCTATCAAGGTGTCCGTTTTAAAGTGAGAAATACTGCTCCCATCCACATGGGCTGTGTGGGAAGGGGGTGTTTTCCAGAGGTATTCCTGACTTCCTCACTGGGGGTGAGGTCCATGGTTAAGTGTTCTTAAACGCCGCTTTCAAAGCTTACTTTGGAGTTCTGAGATCAGGATCTCAACTTTAAAAGTTTGTTTCCTTCAGTTTCCTAAGCACAAGACACACTTGGACAATCCTCCTATGCAAGTAACATGGTAAGCCAGAAAACCGTACGAAAGGTCTGGTGGAATACACGAGGACAGTAAAGAAGAGGGAAACTGCTGAGATGTGAAAATTGCTTATTCGGTCTAAGAATTCTTGGGTGCTTCAAATTGATTGGAATGTACAGTCTCTCAGAGACGAATTTTTATGGAGAGAAAGAGAGAAGCTAGTGGATGCAATCAGAAACCCACAATCCTAAGCACTTCCTTGGAAACGGTTACAAAGGTGATTTTGGTAAAGGTGGTACACTGAAGTTTACGTGCAAGGGCGTTGTGGGCAGGTCCAATACACTACCTAATCAGCTCCGACAGGGATAACCTTCGCGGAGGCAGCTGCAGCAACCACTCTCTTAGAGACCGAAACACATCTTGCGACTGTCCTGGAGCTTTATTCTCTTGATGCTGGCGCTGGAGTAGCCCTCGTCACTGCCAAGGCTCTGCATGCTGCCCCGCTCGTCAGAATCACTCACACTGCTGCTGCTCCAGTCCAGGTCACCCGTGAGATAGTCTGTGCTCTCCACGTCAACATCGATCTCTTCTGCAGGGAGGACGAGAGAGAGACATTGATGGAGACGCTATGCAGACAACTCAGGCTAAAAACCAAACCTACCCCAACCAAACCCTTCTGTGGACACTGTCATCTAACTGTTACTGGGGAAGAGGAACTTATCACCAGAGGTCACACTGCTCAACTTCTCCAAATCACAAGCAAGTTCTAGTTCCTTCTATGCCCTGCCTCCTGAGAGCAGCACAGGTGGGAGAGGACAGGGAGGCAGGGAGAGGAGGGCTGAGAGCACAGCCGGGGGGCTCACCCCTGTCCGAGTCGGAGCGCTCCGAGGAGACGGTGGAGCCGATGCTGTCCATCCGGATCCTCTCGATGCCCAGCTTCTCCAGCTGCCTCTTCAGGTGTCGCTGCTCTCGCTGAAGCTGGTCTATTTGGTGAACGGCTTTTCTGTCACAATCTTCAAGTTTCTGCAAGTCAAAGGGGTAGTCGTTGGAGCCCACAGGGAGATTTCTAAATTGGCAATGACCCCGTATCTTCCCCTCTAGTGACAAAATGTGCCAGATTTCCTCAGAAGCCATTTGGTGTGTCACTTGTCAAGCTTCTCTCCGAGACAGGAAGTTGACTGGCCAGTGACTCCTAGCTTCGTCTAACTTCTTCAGCATCCCCAACGCTGTGGTACTTGTCCTGTCACGAGGATTCTGGGGTGAGCTCTGACACGCTGGTATCCTGGCACCCTTCAATTCTGGTATCGAAACAACTGCAGGCGGCAACCCCCAACCTGGTCTCCCTGTCTGCAGTGATCCCCTGAAGAACTCATCCCTCTGAACTAGAAAAATGCACATGATGGGAGCCTAAAAAACCCACTTCCATTTAAAATTATGTTTATTCAAGTACGTGTCCCAATTACACAAGCACTTTTTTGTGTCTTGCCAAATTTCAATTATCAATTAACTTCTGTTTGTTAGCAGGAAATAACAGTCCCTTTTGAAGTCCTGATTTCAATTTGTCCAACAGAAGAGCTTAGAAAACACATTTCCATAGACTACTCGTTTTTATAAATCTGCCCCCTAGCTTCTCATATTCTTCAGATAATTAAGAAGATCGTTTAAATTGTAGCTGTTTTACTTTAAATAGAGGTTCTTTTTTTCCCAGAATTATCATGTATGCAGGCTACTAACCATAATTAAAGTGATATTTGTCCAACAAAGATATGACTATCAAAACATATTGAACAGTGATTTTGGCTGTGGTGCTCAGGAGTTTGAATGCAACTCACCTGATTCTTTGCTATTCCAGCTGCACACAGAGGGTCAACTCTGCACTAGACACTCTGAGGTGCTGGGGATACAAGGTGAGCACAATGACCCAGGCCCCTCCCTGGTGGAGTCTACGGTCTAGTGATGGACACAACCCAATAGTCATACAAACCATTGTCAAATATCAACTGTGACAAGTGCTAAGAGAGACAGACACCCAATGACAAGATGACCTGTTATAGGAAGGAGGTGACTAAGTCAGGAAGGTCAATGAAGTCTTCTCAGAGCTAGCAAGACTCGCGCCGAGATCTGAAGGATGAGTAGAAGTTAACCAGGTGAAGAAGGGAAAGTGTACTAAGCAGAGGGAACAGCAAGTACAGAGGCCCCGTGGTAAGACAACATGACAAGTACAAGAGCCTGCAAACGTTGCAGAGAGGGGATGGATGGAACAAGACGATACTACAGAGGCAGGTGATGGCCAGCTCAGGCAGAAACTGGGACAGGCCCAGTGACAGAATCTATCCTGAGACACAGAAGAATTTTAAACAGGGTAATGTGTTGATTTGAGCTTTGGAAGGACTGTTCTCAGGAAGCATGGAGAGCAGATCAGAGGGGGTCAGAGGGATGTAGGGAGGCCTCTGAGGATTTTAATGCAGTACATGATGGTGGTATGAAATGGAAGTAGACCAGGTTTTGAAATATTTAGGTCTTGGAGACGGCTTAGATATGTATGGGTAAGAGCAGGAGCTATTATATCAAGGACTCCTGAGTTTCTGGCTTGTACAATTAGATGGAGAGCTGGATGGACCATTTAACTTCTGGTACATGAGGGTGAGAAACAGTCATTTGGGTTCTGGACATGTTGCATTTGAAGTGTCTGTGATTCATCCAAAAGCCATGTTGGAGGAGTTCAGAGGAGAGGACTGTCTGGAGATACACATTTTCTGATCCTCATAACAACAGACAAACCCTTGTTGGACAGGTAAAGACAAAGAAGCATCCCAAGGATACGCTTACCTTTATGTGCAATTTGGCTTTTGTTAATAAACTCAACGTAGTGTGTCGACTTGATTCTGGCCCAAGTGGCACTAGCCCCTTCAACTTCTCCAGGCACAAGCGAAGATGAGCCCGTCTACAAAAACAAGATCATAGCAGCATTTGAGAATTTCATAGTAGGCTGGAAGGCACCCCAGAAAAGAATGAATTCTAAAAGAGTGTGAAGTTGCCCAGGCTCAGTGATGGCAAATGCTACCAATAAACATATTTTGAAACCAGGTAACTCTGGTGAAAACCAATCAGAAACAAAATCCAGGGTTTTCTAAGTTAAATCTATTTATAATACAAGTGCTGGGATAGGAAATAATATCTGCTATTATTAGGCACATTTATCAGGTTATCTCCAGGTTTCTGGGTTACAATGTGACCTACTGAACATCCAAATCAGAAACTAATGACATGCCAGGGTTAGAATCCTTTTAACCTGTACTTCTCTTTGTAAGAGACCCCATTCAAAACCACTAAATCACTGTAACTATATCATTGCTGTATACGGTATCTACACATATGAATGACATACAGATGGTTCCTGATTTATGAAGGTTTGACTTACCATTTTCACTTGGAGTATTAAATGTACTTTTGACTTATGATATTTTTGACTTACAATGGGCTTATTGGGATGTAACCCATCATAAGTTGAGGAACATCTGCATGTGGATAGTTATTAATTGAAGCTTTATTTGTAATAGCAAAGATTGAAACAACCAATAGGGAACTAGTTAAATAAATCACAGTACATCCACACAGTGGAGTACTATGTAGCTTATCAAAAAGAATGAGAATGTGCTCTATGTATTGTTAAGAAAGATCTCCCAGATATATTAAGTGAAGAAAAGCGAGATATCAAACCTTGAGCACAACATGCTATCTTCATGTAAAAATGGAGGGAAAACAAGAATCTATATTCATAGTTTCTTGTATATTCACAAAAACTCTGCAATGATATCATAAGAAACTAATGACAATGGCTGGGCATAGAGATGGCAGGGAACAGTCAGACAGAGATGAGGAAGGAAGCAAGGGGAGTTTTCACTGAATAATTTTTTATACTTTTTAGTCTTGAAGTGTGTCCGAGTGACACAATGGAATACAGTTGGGAGAGGGAGAAGAACTGGATGAGGAGGAAGCCACAGCGACCCACTGAAGACAGAGCACAAGAATCCCCATAATTTTGGAAATTTATACTTAACTGAAACTTGGTTTGGGCTTTATTCTAGAACCTAACAGATTCCATGATTATAAGAAACAGCCAAATTTGGAGTTTTTGCTTAAGTCTACTGCTTCCTTAAAGCCTTCCCAAGCCATTTCAGCTCACAGTGATTTCTCCATTTTCCAAGCACTACTTACCTGCTTATACTACTCATTGGGAAGTTTGCTGCACTGCCTGCGTTGTTCGGCATTTGTTACTTTACCATTCATCACAAACTCCACAGAAAGCTGGGGCTGCAGCTTAATCACTGCTGTGTTGCCACACTGCCTCACACACACACATGCACGATAACGTCTGCGGGATGGATTATGTCATCTATTCAACTAGACTTTAAGCTTTTGGAGGACAGAGTCCATCTCTACAACATCTCTGCACCTTCAGCAGTGCTCAGAGTCAGGAGTTTGGATTAATGTTCATTGCCCACACATGATTACCTGGAGCAGAGCTCCCTGGAGCCTAGGAGGCTACTCTCCAGCTGAAGTGGGAAACAATGCAATGCCTTATATGCTTGCCCTTTTATCCTCTTAAGAATTTTACTTTAATAGCAAAAGTTGGGAATACAGACCAAAAAACACAAAAACTGCTTCAGAAAGTTGTTGTAGGGCAGGTGACTATGCATGATATTGATGTAGGAAGTCAATTCACACTCTACACCAAGACTTCAGGATGTTCCCCTAAGGCAGATCTAATAATTGTTGTTTAGACAACCTTCTGAGCCCCCTGCCCCATCTGCTTCTGAGCCTCCTGTCTCATCTGGATCATGAGGAAGCTGTCCTAGATTCTCCAAGGACCTTCTAAGTCTTGACAAGCTAGAGGAGCAGAGCATTCACTTCTGAGCTAGGAAGATGTAATGGAAGAAGTACATTATTATTTTATAAGACTTCTACTTCCTCTGAAAACCTGTCCATGTGGAAGAGCCACAAGCAAAGACTCACATTAGAAGTTGCTCCTCCCACTACTGCATGGGGGTAAAAAAGTAGAGCCTATGTATAAAACGTACTTGTTCACCTTTGATAATATTCTTCAAAAAAAGCCATGAACAAAGTACTATCTTGGGTAGATTAAAAAAAAGGAGCCACAAAAATAGATGTTATTAGTAACACTATGAGAATGTATAATCGGTCACTTACACAGTTATCCAACTTACTTCTCACTGTAAAGTTTACAGACTAATTTTCAAATTAGGAGAAAAAGTTCAATAATTAAAATTATATTCAGACATTTTTCAGCCTGCTTGTTATTTGCAAAGACTGCATGATTCAGAACAGTGTCATATTGGTCCTTTTATGATATGGGTTTATATACAGATATGAGTATGTAAATTTTTTAGGAAGTTTGTCTACTGATAAAAATACAATAAAGTCATTTTTCGATGCATCATCATTTCTCATTTTACAGGAGTCTAGTCCAGAAAGTGCAATTTTCACTACCCAAATGTGGGTTTCCAAAGAACACTCCCAGTTGTGAAACTAGAAATAAACCATTTGACTAATTCAAGTTGAGGGTTATACTTGTTCATTCAGTGTTTTCTGGCCTAATTCTATGAAAATAGGACCAGAGTTTTTTCTGGATTTTTGTAGAGATCCAAAGCCAACTCTGTCTTTGGCAGTGTCTGCCTTGGCCTTCTCCAGTGCCTCCCTGCTCAAGCCTGATGGCTGCCCTGCCCACACGCCACCACCTGCAGACACATGCCCATACAGGTGCCTGGACCAACCATAGGAGAGGGATGAAGTATATTAAGCAGATTCAATTCTATCATATAGCAGTGAAATTCAATCCCTGGACCAGATAAGAAAGCAAACAGACTCCTCTATAACAGCTCCCACCGAAGACCCTGAGACATACGCACACATACACTCACACTCACATACTCTTGGCATCTAGAATCCTTCTGCCAGCCCTGAGCACCCGTGGAACTCCCAGACACAAAACAAGCAGAACAAGCACCCATCTCATCTCTCCCTTCTCAGTCCTGGCTATTCCCCTACCCTAGTTTCCCATTTTGAACCAGGTCTAATTTCCCTTTGGAGAACTAACTGGGGTTTTGCCACATATCCTCAACAGGAAGCCACCCAACACCTCAATCTGACCCCTCCACTTGGCTCTCCTCCCATCACATCATCTTAAGATAGTTTTGCCAAGAGCTACCTCCCAGCTCCCTGGCCCCGGATGCCTCTTCCTTCTGTGCTGATCCACGCTGCTTTGTCATGAACTTTGACAAACTTCACCTGCTGACTCTTCAGAAAGATCACTTCAATTATTCTGAAAGGGCTGATATACGTTTGGTCTACAGTAGCATAAAGAAAACCAATCTTTGATCTAAACAATAATCAGTAATGCTCAGAATTAAGTGTGGCCTATAACTAGTAATAACTAATTTACATACAAACTATAGATTCTCTTTAGTAAGTTTTAAGTACCCCACATTTTATTTTTAATTTTTTTCTAATATTCTGAATCTGTCAGTTGCTACACAACCAAATATTAGTGTAGTGATTAAGAATAAAGGCTTGGGAGCCTGGCTTTGCTCCCTTTGTGACCTTGAGCAAATTTCTTATCTCCTTGCAGCATCGGTTTCCTCATCAGGAGAGTGAGGATGACAATGCCTACCTGAGAAGGCCCTTGTGCATATTAACTGAGATGAGGTACGGTCAGGGTCTGAGTATATGGTAGCAGTTATTCTTTCAATCCTAGCTTCCTTTGTAGAAGGATAATTACTGTGAGCAAACACAGATAATTATAGCACTATAATATTCCTTTAACAATCAATAGGGAAGTAAAAAATGTCCCACTAGGCAGAGAGAGGCTATCTCATAAAATCCACTTCTCTGAACTTTTCCTTAAAGAAAATGGACTTTTGTCATTAAAATCATTAATGGGAGATCAAATCCATTTTCAATGGAAACACTGATATTGCTTATGCTAAAGGTACTATTTTTTTTTTACATTTAAAAAATCAGCAAGGATTTTACAAAGCTAATGAATGCAAAAGAAAAGATTCCTTCATGGCCCCTCACATAATGTAGAGGCAGGGGTAAAGAGGACTCCAAGGTTGGGAGGGAGGCATCTGCTTCACTCTCACCTGCTCCAGAAGCAAGCGTTCTGCAGTGCCTGGGCCTCCCTCCTGCATCTCTACTGCAGTGGCCAAAGGAAAATAAAAACAAAGGAAAATATATATTGACCTGGGAAATTCAAGTACATCCAGACAACTGAAAATATCTCATATGCTACACTTTCTTCTTGCTATTGTACATTTAGGAGCAAACTAAAAACAGGTTGCTTAGGCTCGATGGGAAGAAAACTATTAATATAAAACTTTGCTGAAAGACACAAGAAAATCTGAGTAAATGGAAAAAATAGCACATTCCTGGATAAGAACCTCGAAGTAAAAAATGTCAGTGTTTCCCAAGTTTATTTACAAATTTAACACAATTCCAAGGGAAAAAAGCCCAATTGTATTCTTTTTAATGCTGAGAAATTAGTCTAAACTTCATCTAGAAGAATAAATGTGTGAGACACTGCCAAAATTTTTGAAACAGAAGAATGAGAAGGAATGTGCTGTACCAGATACTAAATTGTACTATAAAGCTTCAATAATTAAAAACAGTATAGTACTAATACAGGAACAGACAGACAAATCAAGTGAACAGAATAAAAAATCCCCAGAAACAGACCTAAGAATAGATATGTATGTAGCACATAAAGCAGATAACACTGTAAATCCTTGTGAAAAGAATGGATTATTCAGAAAATGGCAAGGGAGTGAAGAGGCTAACATCAAAATAAATTCCAAACAGATTAAAGATTTAAATATAAAATATATTCAGATACCACATAGTTCTGTTGTTAGCTTTCCTTAACTC